GAGGTCCCTTTCAGCCCTAATGTCTATGAAATCTATGAATAAAAATCTGCCAGGGGGTAGTGACAATGAGTTAGTGTTGGTACAGCACTTGGAAGCTGTGAAGTGTTTATGAAGCTGGGCTTACCTGTAGTGCTCAAGTTTTTTATCCTGTTCTTCTGTAGTAGCTAAGATGACATGCGTAACTGAAAGGAACAAATATCTAGACTTTTTGGGGGTCTTCTGAGCCCTAGCTGTAAAATACAGTTGATGCGAAAATAACACCAGAAACCTATATTCAGTCATTTTTTGCTTTCCTTTCTGCATAAAGTGCACTCCATATGAAAAGGTCCCGGGAACAGATTGCACTTCAGAAACCAAAGGAATAAGCTCCCCTGAGTGCCTTCCCCTCCTAATATAAACATGGTAAAATCAGAACATTTTAAAAACATATAAGCTGTTGCAAGCTACTGCATTAGTACCCAGGTACAAAACACCCGAGCAGTTTACCTTAGAAGCTGTATACTAATTCAGTGTCTTTTTTTGTCCTCCCTGTATCAGAGAATTGGCCATGGAGATAAGAATCATGCAGATGCTGACAGATCTCCTGTTTTCCTCCAGTTCATTGACTGTGTCTGGCAAATGACAAGACAGGTAAATTTCTGGGCTGCACATGTGTTTGGAAAGCCTTTATACATGTGACTTGGAACAGTGTATCTAGCCAGTGAACTCGCTTAGGTTTTAAATGAAAATACAACAATCCCTTTGGCTTATCTGTTTTGGCTTTACTTCAGTCTAGGTAAAACTTTGGAGTGTCAAAATGAGTTAGGAGCTTGGTTCACAAAATGCCAATGAGATTTAGGAGCACTTAGGCACCATTTACTCCCTTTTTCAGAGCAGCAGGTCAGGAGAAGGGCTCCAGACAGATGGTTTTGTTTCATTTCAGTGAGTTTTGAAAGCAAGTGTATTGATCCTGACGTGATAAATAGTGTTGGAAACTATGTTCCCTTAGCCACAGACCAGCTTCAGCACAGGCAGAGCCAATAAAACTCCTTTGGGATACTCCAGACCTGCTGTGGACAGGCTGACTATTGGAGCTGAGGGCTTATGAGCTTAGGGCTCTGAGAAGGACTCTGCCTCTAAGGCTGCTCTGCATTTGGCATCTGTACCACGACCTCTGGGTTGTAATTCTAAGTTCACAGAGCCCTGGGCAGACACTTTATTGGGAAAAAAAAAAAAAAAAAAA